ATTTTAAAAAACAAGTGAAACAACATTTGAAAAGATAAACTTACCCAACAAGGGATAGATCAGAAGCGCCAACACTGACCTCACTTGAGGCACGTGACCCTCTCTTGCTATGTGCTGGGGAATCACTGGAATATATACAAAACACTATTACTATCTTACTTTTCATCGCCAATGACTTTAGAAATAATAAATAAATCTATGAATAAACAACAAACATGCACTGATCAAAAGCACTATCATTCAAGCCATTATTACTACACAATATGTTACAACAATTCTAACTTAGCTCACTAGACTGGCACAGAAGGGGTCAGGGAAGAGCTGGGGATTAAAGAGGAGGGGGGGGGGGGGGGGGGAGGACAAGAAAGGATAGAGGGAGAGGGAGAGAGAGAGAGGGGCAGGGGGGGAGAGGGGAAGAGGGAGAGGGAGAGGGGCAGGGGGAGAGGGGGAGAGGGAGAGGGAGAGGGGCAGGGGGAGAGAGGGAGAGGGAGAGGGAGAGGGAGAGGGAGAGGGGCAGGGGGAGAGAGAGAGAGGGAGTGGGAGAGGGAGAGGGAGGTGGGAGGGAGGGGGGAGGGAGGGAGGGAGGGAGGGAGGGAGGGAGGGAGGGAGGGAGAGAGAGAGAGAGAGAGAGAGAGAGAGAGAGAGAGAGAGAGAGAGAGAGAGAGAGAGAGAGAGAGAGAGAGAGAGAGAGGGAGGGAGGGAGGGAGGGAGGGAGGGAGGGAGGGAGAGAGAGAGAGAGAGAGGTGGGAGGGTGGGGGGGAAGAGAGAGAGGAGGGGAAGGGGGAGGGAAGAGAATGAGGAGGGGAAGGAGGAGGGAAGAGAATGAGGAGAGGAAGGAGGAGGGAAGAGAATGAGGAGAGGAAGGAGGAGGGAAGAGAATGAGGAGAGGAAGGGGGAGGGAAGAGAATGAGGAGAGGAAGGAGGAGGGAAGAGAATGAGGAGAGGAAGGAGGAGGGAAGAGAATGAGGAGAGGAAGGGGGAGGGAAGAGAGAGAGGAGGGGAAGGAGGAGGGAAGAGAATGAGGAGAGGAAGGAGGAGGGAAGAGAATGAGGAGAGGAAGGGGGAAGGAAGAGAGAGAGGAGGGGAAGGAGGAGGGAAGAGAGAGAGGAGGGGAAGGAGGAGGGAAGAGAGAAAGGAGAGGAAGGGGGAGGGAAGAGAATGAGGAGGGGAAGGGGGAGGGAAGAGAGAGAGGAGAGGAAGGGGGAGGGAAGAGAGAGAGGAGAGGAAGGGGGAGGGAAGAGAATGAGGAGGGGAAGGGGGAGGGAAGAGAGAGAGGAGAGGAAGGGGGAGGGAAGAGAGAGAGGAGAGGAAGGGGGAGGGAAGAGAGAGAGGAGGGGAAGGGGGGAGGGAAGAGAGAGAGGAGAGGAAGGGGGAGGGAAGAGAGAGAGGAGGGGAAGGGGGGAGGGAAGAGAGAGAGGAGAGGAAGGGGGAGGGAAGAGAATGAGGAGGGGAAGGAGGAGGGAAGAGAGGAGAGGAAGGGGGAGGGAAGAGAATGAGGAGGGGAAGGAGGAGGGAAGAGAGAAGAGGAAGGGGGAGGGAAGAGAGAAGAGGAAGGGGGAGGGAAGAGAGAGAGGAGAGGAAGGGGGAGGGAAGAGAATGAGGAGGGGAAGGAGGAGGGAAGAGAGAAGAGGAAGGGGGAGGGAAGAGAGAGAGGAGAGGAAGGGGGAGGGAAGAGAGAGAGGAGAGGAAGGGGGAGGGAAGAGAGAGTTGAGGGGAAGGGGGAGGGAAGAGAGAGAGGAGAGGAAGGGGGAGGGAAGAGAGAGTTGAGGGGAAGGGGGAGGGAAGAGAGAGAGGAGAGGAAGGGGGAGGGAAGAGAATGAGGAGGGGAAGGAGGAGGGAAGAGAGAAGAGGAAGGGGGAGGGAAGAGAGAGAGGAGAGGAAGGAGGAGGGAAGAGAGAGAGGAGAGGAAGGGGGAGGGAAGAGAGAGAGGAGGGGAAGGGGGAGGGAAGAGAATGAGGAGGGGAAGGAGGAGGGAAGAGAGGAGAGGAAGGGGGAGGGAAGAGAGAGAGGAGAGGAAGGGGGAGGGAAGAGAGAGAGGAGGGGAAGGAGGAGAGAAGAGAGAGAGGAGAGGAAGGGGGAGGGAAGAGAGAGAGGAGAGGAAGGGGGAGGGAAGAGAGAGAGGAGGGGGAGGAAGACAAGAATGAAGAGAGAGAGAGGGGCGCGGATGCACCCCCAACACACACACAACCATGATACTACACTATATTATTCACACCACATAAATCAGACCACTTACATGACTTGAACCTCATCCTCAGACTCTGATGAAGACCTGGATGAGGAGTAAGAACGTTCAGAAGAATAGGAAGATGATGAGGATATACTACGTCTTCTTGACTTCTTGCTTCGCCTCTCTCCCCTATCTCTCTCATGGCGTGAGCTGTGCTTTCTGCGCTTCTTCTTGTGGGAAGACCGGCTGAAGAAAAATAATCAGAGTTAAGACTGTGATAAGAGTAACTATAACCTTTAGTAAAGCTCTTATATGTTTACCTTTTCATCACAAAACTGTGTGTGCTGGTGAGGGTGTCTCAAATATCCAACTTTTTTAATAATATTAATCAGCCCATAGATTTGTCAAGAGACTTTCTATTCTATGCAATTTAGTTTTTATGTTACTATAATACTGTGATGGTACCTTGTGTGTGTTGTCCCCATGAACACTTTACAGCAGTCGTTCTAAATCTTTCACACATCCACAACACCCAAGATCAACCACTCCATTAATAATTCATGTAAACCAATAATGTCACTATGATCAAACTCTTATATACTCAGTATGAAATTTATCCAACAGTCTTGAAATTGCAAGCATGTTTGATGCATAGAGCAACTTTGCCATCAATCATGCATCACTACTCGCTTCTAAAAGATATTATCTATGATTTAGCATGTTGGCTACAGGTTGTACAATAAGCAAAAAACAGGCTCTATTCTCAACCTTGTGTTGCTACATAATGTCTTCCTCATTTTCATCCCATCAGCAGAAATCCCTCTAAAAGCAGAAAAAACATAATTAAAAACCTATGAACATCTTGGTCTTTCTTGAATTATTTGTTTATCTTCCAATTTCCTCTTTTCCCATAGCCATATTTTTCTCAAGCATGCCTTTATAAGCCTTCTTCCAAATACACATACAAATAGTTTGTGCAATACCTTATGACTATCTCTTAAGTGAAACCATAGTGTTTAGAATGACAAGCCACATGTCACATCTAAGGGCCATACTAAAAAAGTTGGATCTAACCCCTACAATCCAGATGATGTGATCATGGAAAAATCTGGCTCGAGGGGCAGATGACATGAACATCCTGTCATAAGAAATTTTGCCTGAGGGCCTGGGTGACACGAAAATGCCAACACAAACATTTTGCCTGAAGGCCAGGATGATGGGAAAGACTTGTCAAACCTTCTGGTTGGTGGCTAGACTCATCTGGTATTTAGAAAGGGAGTTTGCATTATTTACATTGATAAGTAAATGTGTAATGCAGTAAACATGTGCCAGCTCCAAGGAGGATGCTATTTCTATGCTCAGCATCCTTTTTCTTGCATTGAGTTATGTATTGCCTAAAGAGATGATATGGCCTGTGCAAGGAAAACAGTCTATTACCATCTAGATAAAGCAAATTAAAAGACAAATATGGACATTGGAAAATGGCAAGTAAGCTAAAAACTCTTCTGTAGAAAAAGAGAAAATAACACTGTAAATGGGAGCCATAGAATCTTGTAACTGCACAAGTGTTCATGTGCATCCTGGACTACAAGCCATGCACCTGCTAGCTCTCAAACTTAGCAGTATCATACAATGTTGACTGAAACAGAATAAAAACAATGTATTAATGCAGCCCCTGTTCTTCCTTCCCTTGGGAGGAAGAGAGAGGAAGAGAGGGAGAGGGAGAAATTCCTGTAAGTGTTACACTAACCTATGAGTTTTTGAGTGTGATCTTGAACGTGATCGTCGTTTCTTATGACGGCGAGACCGTGATCTCGATCTTTTGCGTTTCTTGCGATCCCGCCGACTGCTTGGGGAACGACTCTCCGATCTTCCACGGCGCTGCTTCTTGCGACTTCTTGTTCTGAAGAGGAAGAGAAAAGTCAGCAAAATCTCTTTTATGTTAACAAAATAAATAAATCCATTAGCATTACTCTTCTTTTCTTTATGGAGGCAAATGTCAGTAATATATATCCCTTAGTCAGGAAAAGAATTCATCAACAAATCTTTTGGTCTGTACAAGATTTCTTTAGTGTGAGAAAACCATTGGACCTCAAGAGAACACACACTTGGAAATAAATTAATGTAAAATCACTTACTTCTCCCGGTGAGATGCCTCTACTTGCCGGGATTTGCTTCTCCTCATCTCTATACTTTGGCTTCTACGACCCTCCTCACTTGCTCCTGTGAACAGACAACTGCATGAGCATTTGTTTACCATCATCTATTACAATAAAATAAAAGTATATTTAAAAAAAAGACATTTCTCTCACACCACTGCTCTTGCAAGTATCCAACTTCCCATACTGCTTGCATACACTAGACACTGATAATAATAGACTTCAAGAAGCAAAAATCATATAAAACTGTTAGAGACTTGACAATACAATCACACATATTTCTGACACATTCTCAAGAGACCAATAACAGAATTTTCTTTATATTACAGGACCATCATCATATAACCCAAAATAAAACAAATAAAAACTGTAAGATAAAAAAAGTAAAGAGAAAAGTCTTTACCAAACACCAACCTGGAGTACCAATATCTACGTAAAAAAAATTGTAATATTTTTGGTCTTTTGAGAAATCAAAGTTCCTGTCCTCCATTTTCTTAATAGCTGACACGCGCTCTATCTGACTAGGAGATTACTTACCTGCACTTACCCGGCCAGCAGACATCACACGGTGGCGACCCCAAGGAACCTGAACACTGACATGATAAAGGGAAGAGATGGGTAGAAACGGGAGAATGGGAGGTTGTCACTATACACAATAATCCCCCTTCTATAAATTGGTCACTATCACCATGCCCAATAATCCCGAAGTCTTTGTCTCCCTGCTAGGCAATGTGTTGCCAAGCTACTTTTCATTCCATGGCACGAGTAAATAAGAGGGGAGGCTCACTTAAAAATTCATAAGACACCTCGCAAAAAAGGTCCGCAATAAAAACAAGGCTTGTTATAAAATGAGGCTAATCCTGTCAGTAACTAGAGCACTAGGCATGGACAGCCACTGCACTAGCCACAGGAAGAATAAAAGTAGTTCTCCGTTGGCGATTCGTACCTACACCTGCACGGCTGCCCTCGATGAAATATCAACAGCAGAGAGCCACTGCAACACATCTGCAACAAGTCAAAAGACCATAGATAACTGCAGTACAGGAGGGCAACTTGCCCCATGAAATGCTTGCCTGCAGCAAATTTCTCTTTGGCATGCCACTGCGAACAATTGATAAATGGTCTTGGAGTCGGTATAAAATATGTGAATGAATTTTTGTGGGG